GAGGGAACAAAGCAGGGAGACGATGCCGTATGACCCTGACATTCTCTGTCACTGGCAGCTCTTCTGCCAAAGATGACTCCAGTAAAATGTGCAACTCATTTGCTTTGAGTCTGTAATTGGTTTGGTGTACACTCAGGAAAAGGATGAAACATTTAACAAAATTAAGTGTGGTTTGGTTTAAAAGTATTAATCCTTCTTTGATTTTTTTTTTTTTCTTTCATGGCATGAAAGCCTCCAGGACAAAAGTTGTCTAGTGGGGGCACGTTCTCTCCTTACCCCCCATCAGTCAGCCCTGCCCCTGGCCACCTCCACCACTTCCCTGTCTGGCTCGCTTTCCCCTCCGTTTCACATCCTATATAAAATCTTACATTTACTGCTTGTCTCTGCCTGCTAGATACGAGCTTTCTGAGGACCAGAGTTTCTGTTTTATCCACGTGTTTTTTGTTTGTTTGTTTGTTTGTGTTTTTTTTTGTTGTTGTTATACAGCACGTTGCTTGCCAGAAGACAGAAACAGAGAGACAGAAAACAAGAAATCACCCCCCAGGTGGGATGGCCACGCCGCAATCCCTTCTCCCCCATTCTCCTCTCAGGATCTTGGGCATGCACGCACATGCGTCTGGCATGAGTTTAAGCCACCGGGTCCAGGACTCGAACTGCGGTCGACTACATGGGAGTCTAGCAATGTAGCCATTACGCCCTCTGCTGGTCCCCCACGTGTGTATTTTTAGCACCAAGAGAGAGCACTACTTGAAGTAGGCGCACCAAAGGCCTGTTCCACACTGAGCTTGGCAGAGTGCTCAGGATCCCAAGGCCAGCCTCGTAGTCCAGTGGTCAGGAGAGCTGGATCGTACGTGGCTGACTGTGGCTCACGTCCTGGTCCTAGCAGCTTGAGAGCCATGCTAGGCACATGCGTGTGCATGCCCCAGGTCCTGACAGGGCGGAGAAATGGAGACAGGATCAGGTGAGGCCACACCTCAGTGAGGAGTGTGCTTTCCTTCTCGCTGTCTCTCTGGCGAGTGCACAGACTCACTGGGAATAAAAGGGGGGGGGGCAGCAGGTGGTATTGGTGGCTAGGGTGCTAGACTCCCACATGGTCAACTATGGTTCGAGTCCTGGACCTAGTGGCTTGCTTTCTCACTCTCTGTGTCTCCCTAGTGAGCAAACGTGCCCTAAAGCAAATTCTGAAATAATAATACGTAAAATTAAATTATTTTTAGAAAACAGAGAGTAGTCACGGCCCCTGTCCCCCCAGGGACACCATTTGCTTGCTCAGCTGTGTCTCGCTTCCTCTGCCCAAGGGCGACACCGTTCTTCAGTGTGCAGTCAGACCCATCTGCCTGTGGTCCACAACTTTCTCTTGAATCATACCCGGGTTTGCTGCTTCATGATGATGCCACCCTGTCGCTTTGCTGGCTGGGGTATCCGGTGGCCACCTCCCTAAATCTAGTAGACAGTTCACTTTCTCTACCCGGTTTGAATCTTCTCTTTACTACTCACCAGCTCTAAGGGCCTCGAGCCAGTCAGGGAGCTTCCCTGAGCCTCAGCTTCCTTCTCTGCAAAGTGGAGTCACTGCAGGCGCGTAGCTCGTAGGATCCTGTGAGTTCAACATCGTCACAGGACGCCTCGCTCGTGCTCAGGCCGGTCCTCCTTCCGTAACTGCTCGTGGGAAGTGTGCGTTCTGATTGGGCCAGACGGTGACGTAGTGGTAAATGCCACCTTCTGTGAGGCCAGGCCACGTGGGCAGGTTCTGGGGTCGTGTCCAGAGACCTGAGCACGCTGCTGTGTGCGCCCGGGATCCAGGACGGCTGAGGCTGTGGTGGACTGTGGCGAGACCCTCTCAGGGAGGCTTGCTTTCTGTTTCTCTCACTCCTGGGAGAAACCAACAAAGAAACTTTTAAAAGGTCTATTATGAAAAAACTCTGCACAGATTTCAAAAATCTTTGCACCAAAATTAACTTGTATTTTTTTAAGAATTATTTTTATTTAACTTTATTTATCTATTTACTTAAATTTGACCGGATTAAGGATAGAATGACAGAGAGGGGGAAAGTGAGAAAGCAAGCCGCCAGGTCCAGGCCTTGAACCGCAGTCAGCCGTGTGGGAGTCCAGTGCCCTTAGCCACCACACCACCTGCCGGCCCCAAAATTCACTTGTATTTTAATTCTCTTTTCCATAAACTTTTTTTTTGGGGGGGGAGAGATTTTCACTATAGGGCACGTGCGCTTGCCAGACAGACAGACAGAGACATAGAGACAGAAAGCGAGAAATCACCCCCCAGGGGGGATGGTCACGCCGCAATCCCTTCTCCTCCATTCTCCTCTCGGGACCTTGGGCACGCACACACATGCGCCCGGCGTGAGTTTTTTAAGCCACCGGGTCCGGGACACGAACCGCGGTCGACTACGTGGGAGTCCAGCGACATAGCCATTACGCTAACTGCTGGTTCCCTTTCCATAAACTTTTTGAAGTCCTCGCATATTACCCCGTTAAGATCATCATTACTTGCTATGAATTCAGCAGGTGGTCTATAGAGCCCACTTCTGAAGGCACTGAGTAAATAGCAGTCCCATTTCTGCTTCCGTCACAGCCACCAGGACCAGCCCTCTTGGGTCCCAAGTGCTCCTCCGGAAATGAGCCGCCCAGTCTGCAGTATCCCCCCTTGACCCTCACCCGACAGGGATCACCTAACCTTCCTTCTTTTTCCCTTTTAGACCTGAAAGAGGACTATGATCGATGGGATAACCTCATTGAAGGCATCGGGCCGTCGCTCACCCCCGGGGCCCCGCACCATCTGTCTAGCCTGTAGGCACCCCGGCCGTCTGTGAAAGGTCCTCACTGGAGCTGCTTCGGTTCCGGGGCTGCCCACGGCCCCCACAGCCTCCTCGTAGGAGGGGCCAACCTGACCCTCACGACGAGAGGGCGTGATCACCATTAATTGGGTTACTGGGAACTCTGATCTTGGACTCGTTGATCTTCAGCTCACCCTGGGACTCGGATCACTTACTAATGGGCATACCGATGTTCAGGGGCGTGAGCCCTGCCGGTGTGGGGGACGAGCTGTGGGTGCAGCTGGGCGCCTGGCCAGCACGGCCAGCCAGCGAGGGTGGAGGACTCTTCCTACCTCAGGGCTTCTAACTTCACCCAGCCCTGCCTCTCCCTCCCTGCTGGCCTGCCCCACTCCAGGGCCACTGGGTGGCATGAGCACCGGAGATGGCTCTCCTGGCCGAGGACCGCCATGGGATGTCTGTTGTTTTCCAGTCTCCCACTCCAACTCTCTCTAACGTAGCCGCGGGCCCGCAGAGCCACAGGCGTTAGTCTGAGCTCAGGGAGGGCCGCCGAGGTGCAGAGGGATGCCCGCGAAGCTCCAGGTGTCTGGGTTTTGCTAACCGCATATCTTGGCAGGAAACAAGCCAGTAAGTGAGATGGGGAGGGGAGGGCCAGTGTTGAGCAGCCAGCTGCACAGGCCTTTGCCACCAGGGGGAGGTAGTTTAGCTCGTCACAGCTCAGGGGTTGGGGCTCCCCGGTCCTGCCTTGGACCTCAGATACTCCGAACCGCAAACTTGCTGGGTGCTTTCGTTGTCTGTCTTCTGGCTCTGAGGCCCTCACCCCAAATCTCAGCTGAGATGCAGATTGAATTTCCATTGTGTGCTATTTATAATATGAATGAACTTCACATTTGCCGAATGGTATGTTGGAATATTCTATTTAATCTGCATTAAGCAAGATGGGGAAGCCATCTGGAATGTTCTCCTTCTGTCTTCCTTTTTTTGCTTATCACGTGGATGCATGTGGGGGGACCTTGAAAGGAAAGGAAGCCTTCCTAGGGGCCTGGTTCAAAGCCGTTTCAGAACAACCTGAGACTCCCCCTCTACCACCCAGGGCTCCTCACCCCAGTCCCGCAGGGCCCCGATGAGGCAATGCACGTCTACACCGGAGGTCCGAGGTGTCGGGGCCACCGGGACAAGTTGGGCCCACAGCTAGCTCCCTTTTTTGTTTTTCTTTACTTTCTGCTCTAGGGTGCATGCAATTACCAGAGAGAGACAGGGAGAGGGGGCGGGAAAACCACCGCCAGGGGGGTGGCCACAGTGCAGTCCCTCTCCTCCATTCTCCTCTGGGGATTTTGGGTACACACGCACATGGACCTGGCATGATTTTCAAGCTGCCAGGTCCAGGACTTGAACTGTGAACTGGCCACTTGAGATCCAGTCCCTTAACCTCCACACCAACTGCTGGCCCAGAACTGCTGTCTTTCTAAGAGGTGAAACCCCAGGTCTGTCGTGCCTGCGGGTCTCTGGGAGCAGCTGTGGTTAGAGCCCGATCTCTACAGTCAGACGTCCTGGGGTTGCCTGCACCCCGCCCACCGGTCAGCGTGAGCAACGACATTCTTTCCGGTCTCAGTCCCGCCCTTTTTTATTCTTCTTTTTTGGAGAGGTTTTTGCTATAGGGCACGTGCATTCTCCAGAGAGACAGAGAGGGACAGAGAGACAGAAAGCGAGAATCACCCTCCGGGGGGATGGCCACGCCACCACAATCCCATCTTCATTCTCTCGGGATCTTGGGCACACACATGCACACTAACCCAGCATGAGGTTTTGTTTTTGTTTTGTTGTTGTTGTTGTTGTTTTTGAGAGGTTTTTGCTATAGGGCGTGTGCACTCACCAGAAAGACAGAGACAGAAAGCGAGAAATCACCTCCAGGGGGGATGGCCACACCACAATCCCTTCTCCATTCTGCTCTCGGGATCTTGGGCACACACACACACACGCCTGGCATGAATTTAAGCCACCAGGTCCAGGACTCAAACCGCGGTCGACTACATGGGAGTCCAGTGACATAGCCATTATGCCAACTGCTGGTCCCAGCATCTGGTGTGAGTTTAATCTACCAGGTCTAGGACTTGAACCAGGTCTAGGACTCCCATGGGCTACATGGGAGTCCAGTGACATAGCCATTTTGCCAACTGCTGCTCCTAGCGCCTAGCATGAGTTTTAGCCACCAGGTCCAGGACTCGGACTGTGCTCGGCTACGTGGGGGTCCAGCAACACAGTCATTATGCCAACTGCTGGTCCCTCAGTTCCTGCATTTCTAAAGCAAGGGCCTGCACTGTCAGTAGTTCAGAGAACTGAGAGGGTAATAACCCAGGGGTTATTCTATAGTATGCTTTCTATTTTCCAAACATAGGAACTTTTTCTGGTTATTTTGTCATTCTTATTTTCTGGCTTAATGGTTTTGTGGTCATAGGGAAATGACCCACATGGTTTCTGTTCAAGATTTGTCAACACTTGCTTTTTGGCCCAGCGCGAGGTTAGTTTTGTAAAGCTCCCGCACACTCAGGAATACCGTCCTCTGACGTCTGCGGCTTGCTCTCCTACTCAGCCACGCGCCATGGAAGTCCTCTGCGTGCAATTCAGCTGTACAGCAGGGCCTTCCCACCCTCACGCAGGGGCCAGGGCCTCCCAACTTCCCCAGAGCCAGCCCCTGGCCGGCTTGGAGCAGGTGGCGGGCCCGTTCCAGCAGCGGGCAGGGCAGCGTAGCCCTGGGATGGCTTAGACCCAGGAATAATGCAGGCGCATTTGTAAAACCCAGCGCAGACCTGAGCCTCTCCTCCAGTGGCTCAGACCGGACCTCCGCCTCCTTCAGCTCTTGAGCTGGGGAGGACTCATTTACCCAACAGCTTCCCCTGTAACTGAAGGTTACTCTTTAAACTGCAGAACAGCCATATATGGAGTATTTTGAGTGGTAACCTACCAGAAAGATAAAGCACACTTTATTTAAACTCGCCACAGGGCACATGTGCTCACTGGAGAGAGAGAGAGGGAGGGGGAAGTGAGGAGACACCCCCGTGGGGTGGTCACGCTGTAATCCCCCCCCTTGTGATTCGGGCGCACACGCACCCAGTCTGTTTCTTGAGGCTGCCGCGTCCAGGAGTCAAACCACGCAGCCGGCCAGGTGGGACCCTGCTGCCTCCACACACCAGCCTGGCCCCACTCTTCTTTTTTTTTTTTTTTTTTGGAGAGGTTTTAGCTATAAGGCGCGTGCGCTCGCCAGACAGACAGAGAGACAGAAAGCGAGAAATCACCCCCCAGGGGGATGGTCACGCCGCAATCCCTTCTCCTCCATTCTCCTCTCGGGATCTTGGGCATGCACGCACACGCGCCCGGCGTGAGATTTAAGCCACCGGGTCCGGGACGTGAACTGTGGTCGACTATGTGGGAGTCCAGCGACATAGCCATTACGCTAACTGCTGGTCCCCTGACTGGACTTTTTAGGGTGTCTCAGTCAGTATGGACTACGATGGTAACAAGCAGCTCCCCGAAGCGGGAAGCGTTCGGCCGCTGCCCACGCTGCCGTGCTCCGTGGGTCAGCTGTGGGCTCTGCGCCACCTTCGCCCTCGCTGGGGCCCAGGCTAGCAGAGCTGCTGCTTTCTGGAAGCAGCCCTGTGCCACGAGGAGCTGCAGACAGCGTGGAGACACACCTGCGGTTCTGAAGGCTGCTGCCCAGGAGCGATGCACGTCACCTCTGCTCACTTCTCAGAAGCCTGGCGGGTCACCTGGGCATCCCTCAACGCCTGTCCTAGCAGAGCCAAGATGTCTGTGGCCACGCCTCGCGTCAGAGGAGTGGGCCCGGCTGTGGCGGTGTGGCTAGCTGCTTGCACCTGCTGTCCACGGCCCGCAGCTTTCCTGTGGGTTCCGTAGGCTGCTGCTCCGACATTGCGTCGTCTATGTGGCCGGGTCGCCACCCCACTGTCCACCCTCTTGGCTGTGCCAGCCCCTCGCGGCCCTGGCATCCACGGCAGGCTTGTGACTCCTGCTGCAGAATCAGCCGCGGTATTTAGAACTGCCCAAGGGAAAGCGAGGTGGTCAGCGATCGCGCGGCAGGGACTCGCCTGCCTCTAACACATGCGGCAGCGTGTGGGCTGTGTAACCCTCTGGCTGCTCTGAAGGTGCCACCAGGCCTTCGGTCCTTTCTGGCTTCAGTTAACGTCCAGGGAATCTCAGCACCCCCATAGATGGCCTGAAGATAAGCAGGGTGCCCCGGAGGCTCTCCCCGGTGTGGGTGGATTCTGTTCTAGTGGGTCCTCTCAGAAGGCTCGGGTTTCTTTTGCACCTCCTTGTGTCATCGGAGGGCTCAATGCCAGAGGAGGCCTCCTGGTGGCACTTGGTGAGGTTTCTGCAGGCTGGCGTGTCAGCCGGGAAGGTAAGTGCGTGCCCAGTCCTGGGCTGTCGGGTAAGGCTAGTTGGGTCCTGCTGTGTCCCCACCACGGTCCCAACCCTTCCTCAGCGATTGCAAGCCATGGGGCCCTGCAACTGCCTCCTTTTCCTTTGGGGCACCATTTTGCCCCTAGGCCTACAAAGTGATAGACGAGAAGGCCCCGGGCTGACCCTGCTGAGGAAGCTGATCTCTGTCCCCTTGCCGCCAGGTTGAGGCCGTCGCCGTGTGGCTGCGCGCCAAGGACGAGGACTGCAGTGGAGGTGAGAGCCGGGGCGTGGGGCCCGTGCTGCGCCAGGACTGCGCCTGTGCCCCCGTGCGCCCTTTCACTTCCTCCTGGCAGGGCCCGCGAGGTCACATGGCACGGTGACAGGTGAGGAAACGCGCTTAGGGATCTAATACCCACGCTTGCCCTGCGCGATGTGGCCCCAGATGATTTGGGTCTGAGTTCTTGTGCCAGCTTCTCCGGGGCCCCCGTTTCGCCCCTGGCATGAAGCATCCCAGCTGCCCCTCAGCGACTACCATGGTGTGATCAGGCCAGGGAGGAGCTGAGAGAAGACCATTTCCCGTCATCTTGACTCGGAGTTCTCTGATCTGCACATCAAAAATCAAAGTCCGGGGACCAGCAGTTAGCATAATGGCTATGTCGCTGGACTCCCACGTAGTCGACCGCGGTTCGCGTCCCGGACCCGGTGGCCTAAAACTCAACGCCGGGCGCGTGTGCGTGCGTGTCCAAGATCCCGAGAGGAGAATGGAGGAGAAGGGATTGCGGTGTGGCCATCCCCCCTGGGGGGTGATTTCTCGCTTTCTGTCTCTCTGTCTCTGTCTGTCTGTCTGTCTGTCTAGCGAGCGCACGCGCCCTATAGCAAAAACCTCTAAAAAAAAAATTCAAAATTTGCAGCACAGACTACCTCCCTGGCTCTCATACATACGGAGAAACTTCACTCCTATGTTTGGGTCTTAACGTTACACTCGAGCATCCAAACACACATGTCTGCACGCCAGAGCTTCAGTCTGGAAAGGGGAGTAGAGGCTGGCCAGAGGGAGGCCTGGGTGGGGGTTTGTAGTGGAGGCTAGCTGCCTTCATTTTGTAAGGGGGTAAACACACCTGGGACCTCCTCAGGAGAGGGCCCCGGGTCTGAGGATGGCCTGTGACTTGCCTCTGCGCTCACTCTTAGCGCCATGTCCCCAGTGGTCCCCACGCCCGCCCACTCATCCTTCGGGTCCTTTGCATTTTCTTATCTGTCAACGTCAGCTCACCCGGGGTTTTACAGCTTCCTGCATGGTGGCCTCGAGCTCCCTCCTGCAGTCTACTGCCACCTCTGCTTGGAACACTTCTGTATGAAAATACAGCCCGGCGAGGGGAGCCTGTGAGGAGCAGACTGGCGGCTGGGAGCCCTGAGTGCTCGTCCACCGTGTCCCTCTCGTGCTGAGGCGCCTCGCGTGTGCTTCGCCTCCGTGTAGACCAGGCCGTGCACAG